ATTCACTCTTATTTCACCATATCAATCCACCATTATTCCACCTGTTGCGGCGTGCAACCCGATCCCACCGTATATACATATTCACCCTTATTCCACCATATCAATTCTCCCTTATTACACCTGCTGCGGCGTGCAACCCGATCCCACCATATCAGTACCAAACAGTCAATGTACACAGTCAAATCAACAGGCTAAATCACAAGGCCTTTACGATAAAAAAATACCAAATGGAACCAAGAAAGGAACCTTACTCAATATAAAATCTGCACAATTAATACTACATATCGAGACCGAACCAGCAATTTACAGTTAAAAGATACAAACAAGTCAAATTAAGCAAATAGCCGGGATTAGGGGAAACTATGAAAAAAGCCAACATGATTAACAAAGGGAAACATAGATTAACATGTAGCAATTAAGCATGGAAAGCATTTAGAGCATGTAACAATTAAGATAGGAGGAAAACAATTAAGGAAAAATGATAAATCAGGAAAAACAGATAAGTCGGCGGCGTATAAGCACTCGCCACCTTGCATATACACCACTAACATGGAATTCACATAACACAAAGTCCGGGGGTTCCTAATTTCCTAAAGTCAAGGTTAGACACAACACTTACCTCACTCCACTCAAAGCTCAATCGTAGATTTGCCTTTCAAACTTGCCTCCGAACCAACATATCTAGCAAATTACCAATCAAACGTTTGAAAATAAGCCTTAGGAATCACCCACGATCGATAAGAATTCAATTTAGGCCATTATTAAAAAAAGTCAACAAAAGTCAACACCCGGGCTCGCTTGGTCCAAACTCAAAATTCATACCAAAACCCGATTACCCATTCACCCCGAGCCCGAATATACAATTGGTTTTGGAATCCGACCTCAATTTGAGGTCTAAATCCCCAATTTATCAAATCCCTAGTTTCTACCCAAAAATCCCCAATTCCACCATGAAAACCTTAGATTCTAGGTTGAAATCTTGTAAAATAAAGTGAAAGATTGAAAGAAACTAGTTAAGAATCACTTACCTATGATTTGGGGAAGAAGAAGTCTTTGGAAAATCGCCTCTTGTGTCTTAGGTTTTGATAATTTGAAGAATGAATGAAAAATCCCGTCCAAGTCTCATTTACCCAGCCGCAGATGTCGCAAATGCGACCTGGGCTTCGCAAATGCGAAGGAGGCATCGCAAATGCGAACCCCTTCTCACCTATGCATTGTTGGCAAATGCGAGTAATAGTTCGCAAATGCGAGTAATAGTTCGCAAATGCGAACATGGGCAAGACTGCATTTGCGACCATGAGATTGCAATTGCGAGGAACACCCCTCCCCAGTTCCCATCACGATTGCGAAGAATTATTCGCAATTGCGAACATTGGCCTCCGTAGCTACTCTTCGCAAATACGATGAGTAGGTCGCAAATGCGAACCCAACAGTGGTCGCAAATGCGAGGCTTGATCTCGCAATGGCGAGATTAGAGGCTCTGCAACAAGAACTGAAGCACACCAGCTAATTTCTAAGTTCAAAACACTCCGTACCCTATCTGAAACTCACCTGAGCCCTCGGGGCTCCAAACCAAACATGTACACAAGTCTTAAAACATCATACGAACTTGCTCGCACGATCAAATCCCCAAAATAACACCTAAAACTACGAATTTAGCACCAAATCAAATGAAATTCTCAAGAACACTTTGAAATTTCTATTTTCTCAACCGAACATCCGAATCACGTCAAACCAATTCCGTTTTTCATCAAATTTCACAGACGTGTCTTAAATATTATATTGAACCTATACCGGACTCCGGAACAAAAAATACGGACCCGATACCAACAAGATCAAACATTAACAATTTCTTGAAAACCATTAAATTTTCAGACTTAAAATTTTTAACAAAAATCATAACTAGGGCTAGGGACCTTCGAATCTAATTCCGGGCATAAACCCAGGTCTCATATTTTGATACAAACCCACCAGGACTATCAAATCACGAATCCGGGTCCGTTTACCAAAAATGCTGACCGAAGTCAACTCAAATGAAGTTATTAATCAAAATTCCTATTTTTATCAACTTTCAACACAAAAGCTTTCTGGAATCACGCCCGGACTGCGCACGCAAATCAAAGAGGGATAAAATGAGGTTTTAAAGGCCTCGAAACATAAAATTTGGTTTTAAATCATAAGATGACCTATCGAGTCATCACACCAATAAACTTTTATTTTGCAACCATATTACAAGCCTATACCCATTTGTTCTTAATTGTCATTATTTTGATCCCTGTACCTCTTAAAGCACTTTAATTTTAAAATGAGCGCTACAAGAAGTAAGGAGGGAACTTGGGTGACCTTGGAGTGGAACCAATGAAAGAAAGAAATGTGCACTTGTATTGTAAGGAATACATCACTAGCAGGAATGGTAGAAAAAAAAAGTATTGTCGAAAAAAAAAGTATGTAGCAAATAAGAATATCTTGTCCTTGCTAGTAGGTATGAATTAAAACAGTGCTTAAAGAAAGAGAAAATATTTTTGAGGTTGATATTGTTTGTAAAAAGTGAAGTTATGTTGAAGAAAAAATGCACTTAAAGTTAATTATGTGATGTGTTAAAGTGCTTAGGAGGGTTAGTCACTATTCCTAATTATCCTACCCGTCCCTTAGCCCACATTACGACAAAAAAATGTCCTAATTGATTTTAGATAGAGCAAGCCTACATTAGTGGAGGTTTACATAATGGGCAAGCCTATGGTACTTTGTGCATGCATGTGACTTCTTTGTGAGAGTGAGGAATTTCTTTGATATATGTGAGTCCTTAAAATATATTTGAGCATTTGATTCGAATGTGTGGATTCAACTTACTCTCTTGTTCTTGTTGTGAGGGCACAAGATTTCGCAAGGGATAGGTGACGTTATTAGATGTCTCTATGATGTTAAGTGTTCAAGCCATGAATGCATTGTGATATTGAGCTGGTTTGTGAGGCTAGGATTGTTATAAGCATGTTGTCTAGTTTTTGAATAAAATTTTGAAATATGGCATAACATAAAGGGAAGTGTGTGTTGAAGGCATATGCTAAAGTTTATTTGTTGCTATCAACCATAGTAATAATTAAGGAGTAATTTGTGTTGGATTTCAACTATCAAGACACCTAATTTTGTCTCCTCTCATCTCTTTGATGTGTGGCCAAAATACAATATTTTTAGTACATTACTCGCCTTACATGTTGTTAGTTTAGTGGTTAATTGTGTGACGTTTGAGCTAAATTATATTATTTTATGTGTAGGAGCATCGGAAGATAAAGACGAGTGAAAGTTGCACAAAAGAGGACAAAAATACGAAAGAGCATAAAAGCACGAAGTACCCAAGCCTGGAAACATGCCGAGCATAGCCAGCTTGACCGCGCTACAAGCCTGGCGTAGCTAGCTCTGTAGCCAGGCTGACCGTGCTATAAGCCTGGCCTCGCGAGGTCTATAGCCCGGTGATCAAAAGTGCGTGAATTAAAAGACTCCAACCCGGATTTGGACTCAAGGACTTCAACACTAGCCTATAAATACTCCCTAAACATGTCTAAGAACTTGGGGGGGGGGTGTTTAGAGGGAATTCGACCTAAGGAGACAAGAACATACTAGGAGCAAGGCGGAGAATTCTTCTACGACTTTTCACTTCCTTCTTCCTATTTTCATTATTGGTTACGAATTCTAGTATTGTAGTTCTTCATACTATTATGAATAGTTAATTTGTTATCTAGTATTTTGATAGAACCTTTTGTAGGATGAAGTCTTATTATATTTTTATATAATTGAGCCATTGAATTTCTCTAGTTGTTAAACAACGTGTTTATTGTTGTTGATTGAATGACCATCAATTGACTGTGCCTATTTAGTATGTATTGCTTGGAAAATGGTACATATTTAGGTAGGTGTTGAACAACATCATTCCTAACGAATGTGAGGAATCAATAGAGAGGGTTTAAAGGTGAGATTAGGAATAACGAAGCCTTGGTGCGATCTTAGTAAGCGGTGAATCAGTGCCAGCTAGCATAGTTCGGAAGAATACGTCTAGTAAATTGTGGTAGTTGCTCGGAAGAGAATTACGACAACCGAAGTACTCACGATCGGTAGAGAATACTTAGGCGAAATTATAGAAAATGTAGCGGGTAAAATTCCGACAAATGGGGAAACATAACTCTAGACCTCCTTAATCTTGTCTCCAACCCTTAGTCTTGTTAGTTGATAATTTTATTGCTTTTAGTATTTGTTAATTAATTAGTTTAAAATAAAAATTATAATCTTTATAAATAGGAAATTATTTCACAAGTTCCGTTTCAAAAAATTATAATCTTTATAAATAGGAAATTATGATCACTCTTCCTTTCCCAAGTTAAAATCAATCACAACTGTTTTTCACAAGTTCACTTTCAAAAACTTTTTTTCCCTTATAGATGTTCGAAAAGACAAATCCAATAGTTCTTTAGACATAATTGCTGCAGTCTTATAATCTTTCGCAGGCATAGAAAAATCCATATAAACACCAGACAGTTTTGGGGAATTACTTCTTAAAAGAGCGTCTTAAAATTTGTTTGAATTGAAAAGGATACTAACAACTTGTTTGGATAGTTGTTACGTATCGTTTCATAATTTATTGTATAACTGTATCGTTTTGACGTATACAATATTTGAATATATTTATTGTTTGTCGTCGTTTTATGATGTCATGCACCAACAATACGAAGAATAAACTTGCAATATTATAAAGAAAAAAATAAGATACAAGATAGAATTATTATATAAATAGGTAGAATAAAGGATAAAATAGAATTATTTAATAATTAGGAAGGGCAAGATGAGAGAAACAAATAAGGTAACGATGCGACACCAAATCGGTCGTTCCATAAAGTGACACTTTTCACTATTACGTGACGACGGATTTAACGATACAATAAAATTTAAGTAACAATCAAAATAAACATTGTATTCAAAGTAACAATACGATACAATGCAAGTATGCAACAGGTAACAACCATCCAAACAAGCTGTAAAGTAAAGAAAGTTGATTTTTTTCCCAAAACCTTGTGCTTCTAGAATAGGAAAAATTGTATGATGAACTTTCCTTGAATTAAAAATGTACATGCATGAATTCTAAGTGATGTTAGATGCTTGAGGACGGTCATGCCTAAGATGAAGTTGCTCATTGTCAATCATAAGTTGTTGTTGTTCTTCTAAACATAGGCGACGGACAATTCAAGCGCTATGTTGGAAATTTTTGTTAGTTTCGGCTTGGCGATCAAACATTTCCCTGAGTTGCTTTGCTTGTTCTTCAATCCGCAATTGTAAGCTTCTCTGAATCTATGAAGGAACAGATATAACCAATATGAACACATATCTCTCTGAGTCTAAAATGGAAAAAATATAACCAATGTAAACACATGTTTCTCTGATCATTTGAAATAGCAGAATAAAGCTATTCAAACCTCAAGTTGTTCATATAGGCTCTGCTGGACACTTATTTGCAGTTTTAGAGCCTCCAATATTTGCGGACACCTAACAATATGTGCAAAATCAAAGAATATCAGAAACACTAAGTATAAACTAAAAATTCTAACCTTATTAATCCTACATAGCTGACTGATCTTATTGAGGTGTAACACCAGAGAGAACGAAATCATATTTCCGTTCTTTCCTTTTTCGATGAAAGGTGGATGTCCTAGCAAACTTACGTTTCTGGAGCGTGTGCTGGAAATGAATTTGTACCAGGTGATCCTTCAGTTTTAACTGCATCTGCAAACAATGTAAAGTAAATCCTGTTATTAACTGTGTTTGAAAAAATAATTTCTGCAAAATAAAACGGAACAAAAAATAAAACAGAAATAGAATCAGAAGAATGAAAGTTCCGAGCCCAACAGAAAACAGTGTTTCCTTAAGTAATTTAACCCCCTCACTATTGCCCAAGGTAATCGGATTAATTACTCCCAGGATAGAATAGAACAAAACAACTATTCTGTAATACGACAATGAAAATTATGCAGATTTTTGATGTGTCTAAAATTGAGGCAAAGCCTCTGAATTTATAGCTAAATAGTCTGGGTTGCCGAAGCCGAAGCCGAGCGACGACAACGGCGCGATGCACCACTTCTTCTCAACTCTTTAAGAGCTAGAAGATGTGCTTCTCTATATAAGCACAAAGATGTTCTTTCCATTTTCCGACGAGGGATAACGTGTCTTAGTAAAAGGAAAACTTCAAACTTTTCGTTTCCTCCGTTTCCCATTCACACTTCCTTATTTAATTAAATAAAGACCCCAACAAATACCATTTTTCTATTAGCACATCGATGAATTTAAGGTACTATATATATGGTTATTTTGCACGGTGAAATGATTGAATCTATAATCATGCATATTTTGACACACACAAAAGAAGTTGTTCACAGTTCGTTACATGATTGCATCTATCTTTTATTTCCAATTAGTGATCTATAGTTTGCTTGTCTATAAGGATCACACAGCTGATCTTTACAATATAGGTTTAACTTCCAAGTATTTAAATCTGAAGGTTACCTTTGGGAGATACCGTTACATCACAGGTAACACGATATTTCTGAAGACGACAACAACAACAACAAAAGGAATACTTTAGATTTCTCAGAAGTGGGAGTCAATATCATCATCAATAATCTTGAAATGTACATAATGTTTTATACCTGCAAGTGACTTTTAACATTTGAAATGCTCAATTCGTAACAGTTCATCAGCTTAAGGATTGCCTTTGGTGTTGCCTCTGCACTCAATCAAGAAACAGATGTTTAGATCATACACATCATGTTGACTTAGAATTACTACTTTCAGTATTTTTACTTACTTTTGGCTCCTCCAAGTCGGTTAACACATTCACAAAATTGCTCGTGGAGATCGTGAGTCCACGTGATCCGCCTCTTTTTTGTTGTCTCTACTCTTTCTGGAGTAACATTATTCGAAGAAATGCAGACGCTTTCATTAGGAGGAGATTGAGGCTTCTTTTCTAGTTGGCATACATAACATAGTTTAATGATTCGCGAGTCGAATGAATCCTTCCCCACCTGTGATAACAAGAAGGACAACCATTAAGATTTCATGATTTTTACCAGAGATAAGCAGTAATATTAACCTTAGACCATAACATGTAAGAAGTTCTGGGGACTAAGGATTGTCTTAATCTATCTTTAATTGGATAGGTATTGTACAATTATAAGGGCAGCCTGATACACTAAACTCCTGCTATGCGCGGGGTCTAGGGAAGGGCCGGACCACAAGGGTCTATTGTACGCAGCCTTACCCTGCATTTCTGCAAGAGGCTGTTTCCACGGCTCGAATCTGTGACCTCTTGGTGACATGGAAAGGCTCCCCTTCCCTCTTGTACAATTATGTCCCATTTAATTACCTAGCTAGTAAATGCTCCATATCTTGAAGCAATAAAAATTTACAGTTTTTTCTAGATTTTCTTAATGAAATATTAAGGTTAAGGGAAATGTAAAGATTTCATGCAAAGCAAATATCAAATATGTCGATATAGGCTTACTTGACTGCCTCTCGCCGCCATACTTAGATAAGGATTGCGCGAAGTTTTGGCACCCTTCGGGGTTGAAGATTCAGGTTTGTGTCTACAACTAAAAGAAGATTGCACCAGTGAATGCAGGGTATCTCTTGATTTAAAATTCTCATCAGCCAAATCATATTTATCCAAAGGATTATTTGATGTACTGGCTGTATCATACATCTCCAACTCATGTGAACACACAGGCATTATATGATCATCAGAGTTTTCACATAATTGTCCAATAGTTCTGGAGCTTTCAGATGCAGAAAATTTAGAGGTTCTTGATTCTAGATGTTTACATAGAATGCCATAGAGAGAATCATCACCGCCCGAGACTCCTTTGATCAACTGCAGGAAACTTGGCTGTTATAGAAACCATTTGAAACAGAGAAACAGGTAATTTAACTACAAACAACAACGACATATCCAGTATAATCCCATATAGTGGGGTATGGGGAGGGTAGTGTATAGGCAGACCTTACCCCTACCTTTGTGGAGGTAGAGAGGCTGTTTTCAATAGACCCTCGGCTCAAGCAAGCATAGATACCACAATAGTAACAAGAAATAAGACGGGACAACACCGAAAAACTATGTAAAAGCAACATACACAACAAGATAGTAAGATGATCGGAAAAAAGAAAAAGAAAAAAAGACGACAGGTATTCAAATAAGCCTACCAGCCAAATGCGAGCGTACATACTAACACTACCGGTATGAATAATCTAGACTACCTTACCTGCTATCCTAATTTTCGACCTCCACACCTTACTATCACGGGTCATGTCCTCGGTCAGCTGTAGCTGCGCCATGTCATGCCTAATCATCTCACTCCAACCCTTCTTCAGCCTACCTCTACCTCTCCTAAGGCCCTCCAATATCAACCTCTCGCACCTCCTTACCGGAGTGTCTGTGCTTCTCCTCCTCACATGTCCAAACCATCTAATTTATTTGAGAATTTGAAGTAAACTTCTGGAATCAAAAGATCTGATTAATTGTTCACTTTCAGATGTTCAAGATACCATATGTGAAAAAAGACCAAACAAATGACAAAAACAAAGAGCCAAAGAATCTACTTGTCTAAATTGCTGCTATAGTTGGATTTCTATCATTCCAAATCTTATGACAGTGAGGACTATAAGAATTAATTTAGCAATATCAGTGATGACAGTTAGCACAAAAGAATACTTTCACAAAAACAACAACAACAACGATCCAGTAAAATTTCACTAGTGGGGTCTGTACAGGGTAGTGTGTACACAGACATTACCCTACCCCGAAGAAGTAGAGAGGAAAGACCCTCGGCTCAAGAAGACAAAAAAAGACAATATCAATGCTGCCACAGAAATCATAGGGAAAATAATAACATGAAAACCAGAAGATAGATGCAAAGCAAAAGCGATAGCTGGCACTAAGAAACGAAAGAGTAGTAAAACACAATATTGCCACTAGCTATCTTAGACAAAAACCCCACCAGACTAGTCGGAAATATTTTCACAGAAAGTCTAATGCAAAATGGACAAAATGTAGCGTTTACCATCTTTGCCCTCCTCTCAAAGTAACTTGTAAGAAACTATAGAGACCAAAACTTGTCCAAATACACCAGACAAGAAAGCTGGAAAGAGAGAAGGAGATTTCTGTAAATTAAATGCATCAAACTTAATGAAACAAATTTCAAGGTTGTGTTTCTATTTAAGAATGCAGAAAATGGGAAGCATGATATAGGTGGTATTTGAGGTATGCTTAATTTTTATAAGAAATGCCATCACAATGACAACAGTATGTTCAAAAGTGTGTTGTTGTGGGCCCTTTTAACATTTGTATATGTAGCACAAGAATTTTGTCCTGCTTTTTTCATTGTTTTTCCTTTACTTCTTTATTTTGTGAAAATAGCATGAGCTAGCACTGGTAACTAAAAAATAACTAGCATTTTGCAAAGTCATTAAAAATAGCCACTATTTTAGCTGAAATACGAAAAGTTCCAGCATAATTTGCTGGATTTTGGAGTTCATGCATATAAACTTCCAACATATTTGTTGGAACTCCAACACATTGTTAAATTGCAGCACATTATGCTGGAATCTCATATGTAAAAAAGTTCGAATCCGCTGGAATATTTTCGGATTTTTTAGTGTGTTTTTGTTCAGATTTTATCTTTACATGAAAAAGTGACTAAATTTTGATTACTTTTGAAACTGTGACTATTTTTCCATTATCAGCTATAAATTAGGCTTTTTGATCCCCCCCCCCCCTCTTTAATTTTGCTCAGTCAGTTATCCAATATCATTCTTAATTAATTATGACCTGAACCTAATATTAAATTTTCTCTCGATCCATATATTGCTTGAATTGCAACACTTCATATATTACTGTATATTTTAATTAAAATAAAACGTCAAGTCAACTAAAAAGAATAAACAAAAACTAAACTTAGATTTTCTCTATGCAAACATATTAATACCGTAAGCTAAATATCCAGTTACACGTAATAATCAAATGATTAATTCATAATGTTATAACTCCTATATAATGATGTCTAGAGAGTATGTTAAGAAACCAAATGGTCTTAAGAATATTAAACGTGCAAACTAATCATTTAAGATGACAAAGTAGCATTTGTTTTCCATACTTCAATCTGGATAGATGTTGATGCATGTATAAGGAAACAGACAATTGTACTTATGAGGATACAAAGAGGGAGTTGATTATAACAATGAGAAAAACAAGGTGATGCTGATGATATAAGTTCTACTGGAGTTGCAGTAAAGTTCCTTTTCAGCCAGGATGTTCGTCGGTCGATACGGTATGTAGTCATTTCGGTTCGGTATTTTTGGTATTCGGTTTCTTAAAATGCTATATCAATACCATTCTAATTACATTCTGGATGGTCCGGCTTGAATATTAACTAGTGCATAGAGCCATAGACTGTAATATTCTTTATTAAAGTACTCAATGAAAACGTTCTGAACTCACCTGACTGTTGACAAAATCTTTGTCCAAAACCATCAAGTATCAACTAAGAGAAAAAAGGTACATAAAGGAATACATTTAATCATTGAAAATATCATGTTACTTGCTTAGAGTTAATTGTTGAAATTAGAGAATACAACAAGGACTAATCCAACATATGAACCAACAATACAAGACTAACAGAGTAAGAAACATCAAAATCGTTGCAATATTACGTTAAACTGTTTGGCAACCTAGAGAGTAAGAATTAGAATCTGCATCCTATCTTGTTCCTCCATTTTCCTAAAGAAGTACATGGGCTTTACTGCCAACCTCAACCAGGGGCGAAGCTATGTTGGCCCAAGGGTGGTCAGTTATACTACGTATAAGGTAAAATATTACTTGTTATTGATTAAAATAGACTGAGAACACCCTTGCATAGCCCTTGCATAGACTTTGAACACCCTTATTGAATTCCCTGGCTTTGCCACTGACCTCAACATGAATGCCAAAGAAAAGTATTGTGTAACTTAGTATGTTGATCAATAATATTTGTAATGTGTAACTTAAGATATATTTCGGTACGGTATCGGTATTTCGGTATTATTTTTTTAAATACCAAATACCATACCTAATATTCCAAATTATTTTATAAACTTAAACCAAATGTCATACCAAACCAAAATTTTCAGTTTCAGTACGGTAATTCGATATCTACCATATTATGCACAACCCTAATTCTGATAATACAATTAGCAAAAGAAGGGTCTCCTAAGCTTCTATATAGTAGAAGGTACTACACGAGGAGAACTGCATTGATACAACCATCATTTTCAGGATTATTCGTCACTCGAGCATATTTCCCTGGCATTCAAGCATCCAATAAGAAGAATCATCAGAATTTGAAGGACAAAAAATCCCAGAAGTGTAACATCTTAGTAACGCATATCTTACCACATACAACTTTCCCAGCAGGAGTGACAAGACCAAGTTCATTGACATAAGGGGCGGATGCACACCTAAGGAAGCGGTGTCATGCGACACCGCTTTGTCGGAAAATTTTTAATACTATGAGAAAATGAATAAGTAATAAAAAATGACACCATTTGACATATATAAATCGTCTCTTTGTGTGTCGGCTATGTGCTTGATTTTGCTCTAAGAGGTTAGAGGTTCGTACCTCAAATAGCTCATTTTTATTCGCAAATATTTGAGAGAGCCTCTATGGTTAAAAATTGTGATGAAGTAGAATTGAACTTATGACCTTTTCTAACTTAGCAATCAACAAAACCAATATATTAAAGTTATTTCTTGTCTAGAAATATGATAATTAAAGTTATTTTCTCATTCATCAATAAATTTCGACACTCCTTAGAAAAATTCCTGCGTACGCCTCATTAACCTGGATTTTATAGCAAGACCATTAGCGATGCAAGCTAAACTAGATAAACTTTGGTCCAGTGTTGAAAAGGGAAGATTACCTCAATGATGGTTTCCTTGGTCATAACAACCTAGTGAAGTATACATTGGACCATTAGGATTCTTCTTCACCCCGATAATCTCAAGGTTGAATGTGCATTTAAGTTCGGGGTTTGAAATTTCGTAGATCCATAAAAAATGGCACGGTGATCAATACTCATCGTTTTGCCATGACTTTTGAGTTTATCTTCTGGTGTTTAGAGGTAATGCAATGCAACACCAATTCATAATTATTTTTACTTTTTCGTGTGTATTAGTATATGTTGATTATGTAGAATTCTTTTGACGAACTCTAATTGGCCAGAATCATAGGTCCATAGCAAATGGCTTAGTGTCCAATACTTATTGCTCCACCATAACTTTCAAGTTCGTCTTCTGGCGTTTCAAGGTCATGCAACATGAATTTATGATTATATCCACCTTATTGTGTGTATTAGTACATGCTGATTTTATTAAAAAAAAATTAACGGACTCTGATTGGCCTAAAGTTTCGTTGGCCCACAGGAAACGGCCTAGTGAACAAAACTTAGTGCTTCACCATAATTTTCGGGTTTATCTTTTTGTATCTTGGGGTCATGCAACACGGATTTATGACTAAATCCGCTTTAGATGTACATAATAATTTTCTACAATATTTTTGACAGACTCTGTTAGCCGGTAATTTCGTAGGTCCATAGAAAATGGCCTGGTGACCAATACTTATTGCTTCCCCTTGACTATCGAGTTCATTTCTAGCATTTCGAGGTCATGCAATACGAATTTATGATTATATTCACTTTTTCGCGTATATTACTACATCCTAATTTTTAAGAATTTTTTTTACAATTTCTAATTGGCCTGAAATTTCGCAAGGCCACAGGAAACAACCTAGTGATCAATACTCATTGCTTCGCCATGACTTTCGAGTTCATTTTATGGCGTTTCGAGGTCATGCAACACAAATTTATGATTATATCTATTTTTTCGTGTATCAGTATATGCTGATTTTGGGGAACTTTTTGATGACTCCGATTGTCCTGAAATATCGTAGGTCCATAGAAAACGGCCTAGTGACCAATACTTATTTCTTTGCCATGACTTATGAGTTCTTTTTATGGCATTTCGAGGTTATGCAACACGAGTTTACGACTATTTTCACTTTTTTGTGTGTATTAGTACATGCTAGTTTTGTAGAAGTTTTTTGACGAGCTCCGATTGGCCTGAATTTTCGTAGGTTCATAGGAAACGGCCTAGTGACCAGTACTAATTGCTTTACCATAACTTTCAGGTCATTTTATGGTATTTCGTGGTCATGCATTACAAATTTGTGATTATATCCATTTTTTCGTGTGTATTAATACATGCTGATTTAGCTAGTATGGTTGACGGGACCTTTTGAGTACACCAAATAACTTGCATGTACGGATGGGCATTGGCGATAGTCTAAGATTGAAATTAGACTGAACAACTCGATCCATCTATCTATGGTGTGACAGGTCTGAGGAGTAATCCAAGTTGGAGTCCTTGTACTTACAAGTTTATTTCTCGATTCATGTATTCTTCCTAACTTGGATTTCTTAAAGAGTTAACAAGAGGAAGCTGCAGTTTTGAAATTGATACCACTCCATTTCATGGTCTTTTTTGAAGAGGTAATGATTGTATTAATAAGTAGCACATAGTGCTAGATAGGGGCGAAGCTACATTATCCGAAGGGTGATCAATTGACCACCCTTCGTCGGAAAACTAAACTGTATATATTGATAAAATATTACTAGGTTTTAGAGATGTATAACATATACTAAACACCCTATGTCGAGAAATTTTTTCATTTCTTCTAAGTTTGAACATCCTTATGAAAATTCCTGACTTAGCCACTACTGCTTGATTATCAATACTAAGTGAACAAAAGCAGAAAGAAAACCGAAACTATGGTCCTCTTCAGCCGAGGGATTCTATGAATTCTAACAAAGTTTTTCCTCATTAGCACACTCTAGCTTACGCCAAGAATGAAACGTCAAAAGACAATCAAAGCATCTAAAGGGAAGGGGAGCCTTGGCGTAACTTGTAAAGTTGCAGTCATGTAACTAGAAGGTCACGGGTTTGAGCCGTGAAAAGAACCTCTTGCAAAAATGCAGGGTAAGACTGCGTACAATAGACCTTTGTGGTCCGGCTCTTCCGTGTACCCGCATAGCGGGAGCTTAGTGGACCCAAGCTGCCCTGATCAAAGCATCTAAAGTTCCTTTCTCAGAAACACCCACCAAATACACTCCGGAACAGAGTTCCACCCGCTATTTCTTACTTTGTCTTGCCCATGCTTATGCCAACAATGCATGCTTAAGATTATCAATTGTCAGTCAGACTTTCTTTGGCTACAACCCAAGAGAAACAGTACACTTTAAGGGGAGCTTCCTGACTTCCAAATTTGTTTCCAGGGCCATGGCTTAAGCTGTTGATTTTCCTTCGACAGAATTCTATAGCAAGATTTAACAGAGAACTCCCCGGACCCTGAAGGAGAGCCTTGGCGTAACTGGTAAAGTTGCTGCAATGTGATCAGGAGGTTGCGGGTTCGAGCCGTGGAAACAGCCTCTTGCAGAAATGCAAGGTAAGGTTGCGTACGATAGACCCTTGTGGTATGGCCCTTCCCCGGACCCCGCGCATAACGGGAGCTTAGCGCACCGGACTGTCCTTTTTTTCCCCGGACCCTGCGTGAATACGGGGTACTTTGTGCACCGGAATGCCCTTTTCTCCGTTGCTGCATCCTATCCAAAACAATTAATTTATCTACAGTAGCAAAGCAACTTAGGAAACTTTCAAGCAGCTTATATTAGACCACACACACACTTGACATTCCCAATCATTCATGTTCCTTCCGAAGTTGACTGAGTAACCTTTGCTGCCATTTCGTGATTATGACACGATTATTGTTGTTGACAAGCATTTCAAAGTCAGAATTGAAATACTAAACCCGTATATGAATTCAATTTCCTGCTGCAACACTTTTTATTTGGCATAAGGTTGTTATTCATATTTTCACACATCACTAACAATTCATGTATTTCTGTACATTCCCAAAATGAAAATTAGCCATTGAAACCGACATAATGTCCAAGACATTACTTCTGGTCGCTCCTGCAGCTTTGTATCTTATACTTTTGTGGTATACAGTAATATCTCACGGCAGGCTGTAGACTGTTGCATCGCAATCGTTCTGTCTGATTCAAAGAGAATAGTTCAAAGCAATATCAAGATGTGAAACAACAATGAAAATAACTACTAGGAGTAGTATATATATCAGCAAATTTACTAAAATCAATCATCAGAAGAATTTGAGGTGATGCACTAGTGTAATTTTCTAAGCTAGTATTCAGTAACCCTGTGTAGTAGTAGGCTACATATATATTATGTATACACGATACTCTAGCATATACAGCTTGAGCAGTATTCTCTCCCCAATCATCTAGGGACAAGGTAAGGCTGCGTACATCTTACCCTCCCCAGACTCCACTTGTGGAAAACCGCTGGGTTTGTTGTTGTATCTAGGGACAAGTAAGCAAGCAATCTTGAGCAATCAAAGGACTTTGACGATCCAACGTCTCCTTGACAGAGCGATAAAAGAGCAGCCATGATGAGGAAGGGGAATGCGAGTCCAACGAGAATGTAGGGTTAGGAGTAGCAGTAACCAAATCCAGAACAGAAGGCGATACTGGCCTGAGCGGCTGAGGGAAATTCAAAGCCAAGTTATCTACTTTGTGTTCATAAATTTTGCCAGTTCGATCCAATTTATAGGTAGAAGTTCCCTGGAATTGGCCTTTGGCTTCCCAGGGAACACGAGGTATACCCGTCAAGTTCCATCGAATCAATATCACATTCTCTGAAGGCTGCCAAATCCTCATTACTTTCAGAGATATCTCTCTGAACAGAATTCTACCATGAAATCTCAATGCCCAGAAGATCAATTTGTACCTCTCAATACCGTTAAAAGTGTTCAATGGATCTACAAATGTGATATCATCCCTATCAACATGAGCAAATTCATCTCATAAATTTATAATCTAGCACCTTTTTGTTTTAATCAACACAAAATGAGCTAAAGTAAGTACCTGTATATGTCATAATTGAGGTCTTTGGTGAAGATTAAAGGGAGATCTTCACGGAGAGTGCGAACAGCTAAACCCAAATTAACGTAGAAATCATCGTTGTTATGGTCATTATTACGTTCCTTTTGCAAGGTAGGAGGAGCTCTATTGACCTGGACAACCCTAGCAGCCGCAGAAAGGAGCGGAATGTCGAGGAGGAGGTCGGAGGAAGAGGCGGAGGAGAGCGGAGATAGGTGGTGGTGGTGGTGGTGGACTACGGGGAGTTTGTCTTTGGAATGGAGCAGATTGGTAGACAGATTTGGCAAAGTATAGGCCATTTTTGCAAATAATAAAATGGCTATGAGTTTCAGCTTCAATGGCGGGGATAGGGGTCTCTCTTGTGTGTGTGTGTCTGAGGGGGAGCCAAGTGTTTAATGGATGTTGTCGTTTCTTCTTTTTCTCCTTTTTGAAACTGAACTGAGGCCATATAAAAAGACGACATCGTTTAGAATGTCAGTTTTTTTTTTTTTTTTTTTTTTTTTTTTTTTTTTAAAGTTTTTGACTTCCCTTCCCTAAATAATAGTCTCTCCTTGGACCTTAGCAGTCTTTACAAAACCAAACAAAAGATACAAAATATCAGAAAATATGCAATTCCCTTGGTTTGGACATAGATTTAGTTGAATCTTGAAAAAGAGTTCTTGAAGTTATATTGAAAAATAATTTTTGAAAGTTAAAATTTTGTTTGAATACGTATTTTATTGGAAAAAAACTTGATGTTATGTGAGTGGAAGAAAAAATTTTACCCAAAAATTGCCCTAAATCAGATTTTAGAAACTTGAAAAAAAAAAAATCCATGAACAAACAACGTTTGTCAAAAAAAAATTGAAAAAAAGGTACAAAAAATACTCAAAAATTCCTAGAGAAAGAGTATTCATAAACCTCAACTCTAGTAATGCAAATTCCTTGCTCCTTATTATTTGTGAATTTTGCTGTGGAGGAATTTTATGGAAAGGCCAAGAAAGTATAAAAGTAGCACGATGTGCATATACAAAATACATTTTTTGATGTACTTTCCAAAATGTGCTCGAAGAAAGATCTCCAAGGAGCAAAAAGCAAAAAATATATTCAAAATTGAGAGTGGAGCTCATAAGCAATGAGATAAGAAAAAAGTTAGAATCCCTATTAAAAATGAAATAAGAAAAAAATTACGAAATAACAAAATTGAAACATTTGTGAATAAGATGTAGAGCAATGCCTCTACGCTCAATTAAAGACAAAAATATGTCATGTGAGCTTTGAGCAGGAGCATGTGAACGTCCTAATTGGTGAAATCAAGATTCACAACCTTGTTATAGTTGAATCAACTCCAATTTAGGCCCCGTTTGGCCATATATTTTGGCAACGTTTTTTCAAATCTTTTTTGAAAATATTGTGATGATAGGCTATAATTGCATATTTTAGTCGCTTATTACACTCGAATTTACTGCACTTTAATTGAGTTTGCGCTTTAATCGCTAGTGTTTTACACTAATTGTGTGTTTTATGCCTTGTAGGTGTGATTCCGAGCTATATAGATGTTATGGAATGAATTTAAGTGATTTGAAGCTTTGAAGTCTGAGTAAAAGTTCAAGGAATTAAGCCGGGATCGTGTTCGGAGGTCAAATTTGATAATTAAGTACGAACGAAGACTTGAGGAGGCATATTGCGCACTGTCTAGTAAAATAGACATAACTTTTTGCTCAGAACTCCATTTGGGCTCCACAATATATGGTTGGAAAGCTAACTCAAAGGGCTACAACTTTCATGTTTTACGTTTTACCAAATTCCTAACGGAACAGGATGAAAAACCGCGGTTTTACCGCGACCCCGGCAAAACCGCGGCAGAGTGTACTCGCGGACAACTGAAGAATCAGAGGGCATGTTTGGCCGCGGTTCCACCGCAACCGCGGCAAAACCGCGGCAGGAAGCGAAAATTTCAGGGACTAAAGTGCAAAACATGGGATTTTAAGTCCTAAACCCTATATTAAACAAAGGAGGCCGGCCAAGAACAAGGAGGGGACATATTTTGGACAAAAATTAGACCTAAGGAGGCAAGAGACACTACTTTAGGGTTAGACAACACCCTTGGAGGCAAGAACACATTGGGAGCAAGGCGGAGAATTCTTCTACAAGTTTTTCCTTCCTCTTCCTATTTTTCATTGTTGGTTATGACTTTTAGTATTGTAGTTTTACATACTATTATGAATAGCTAATTTGTTATCTAGAGTTTTGATAGAACCTTTTGTAGGATAAATTCTTGTTATGTTTTTATATAATTGAGCCATAGCTTTTCTCTATTTGTTCAACTACGTTTATATTGTGGTTGGTTGAAGAGCTCTCAATTGGCTGTGCCTATTTAGTATGCATAACTCGGGAGAGAGTGCATATTTAGGTAATTATCGAACAACACCACTCCCAAAGTATATGAGGGATCAATAACCGAGGGTTTAAAGGCGGGATTAGGGATAACGAAGCCTTGGGTGCGATCTGAAGTGAGCTGTATTAAAAGCCAGCTAGCGTAGCTCGGGAGAGCGCGTCTAGTAAATTGCCGTAATTACTCGGGAGAGATTTACGGTAATAAGAGTGCTCATGATCGGTAGAGAATACTTAGGCGAAATTATAGAAGACATAGCGGGAAGGATTCCGACAATTGGGGAAATCATAACTCTAGACCTCCTTAATCTTTTCTCTAACCCTCAGTATATTTAGTTGTTAATTTACTATTTTAATTTGTTAGTTAATTAGTTAAACACAAGAATCTTAATATCTATAAATTAGGAATTGTTCAAGCTTGTCTTCTTGGTGATAGTGAATAGCTGTAGCTAAACCTTAGTTCTCTGTGGGATTCGACTCCGGACTTGTAAACCGGATTATATTTGCAGCGACCGCTTAGTCCTTTTTATAAGGCATAGTTGGGCGTGATCAAATTTTGGCGCCGTTGCCGGGGAACTAACAGTGTAGTTGTAGCTGTATATATTGCTAGATTACGAGTTTGAACTTTTATTTTGTTTTCTTTTGTTTTATTTTTTTTTTTTGTATTTTTTATAACTACCGATTTGAGAAACATGGCATCTTGGAATTATGGGAATTTAGGTGTAGAATTAGATAATTCTACTATTGATCTCCATAATTGTAAAGGAAACCACCAGTGGCAAAATTTTCAAAACGTTCCTGAGAGCGAGTTATGTGCACCAACTCAATCTTATTTGTGGAATGTGTGTGATGTGTGTGGTGGTACAAAATGGTCACCTTCATGGTTGTGCTTATATTTCTTATTTTCCCCCAACCCCTTACTACGATGGTTTCACCTTTTCTTGTGAAATTAATAGGAACAAAGAACCTGGGAATGCGGACCTGAAGGAGATCAAGGATATGCTAAAGTGTCTTCTGGAACAAAACAATGAGAAACAATTGCACATAGAAAGGCAAGAGGCAACTATTCGCAAGTTGGAGGCTCAATTGAGTCAAGTGGTTGGAGCTTTTAATGCTCAACAATCCAATATTGATGATAGTAGCCAAGAAGAGCATGAATTTGAGGTATTAATTGGGGAGGTCAAAGCAGAACATCAACAACCTAGCCAACTAGAATTTGAAGATGTCAATGTTGAAGAAGTGAGACTAGAGTCAGCCAAGGACATTGAGGATACAAATTTTGTTGACTCTAGTATCATTGATGTTGAGGATGCTGAAAGTCCTGAAGTTCATGTGTGTGAGCGCATTGGTCCTCACTCCAAACATTTTTCTACATTGTGCTTGGATGACGATATGAAAATAGAGTCATCCGAGCCGATTGAGAAGTCAAGGAATGAAGAACAAGGTGCCTATATTCTGGAATTTTTCTTACCAGAAAGATAGGACTACATACCTCATCTAAAAGCCAAGAAGTGTAGAATAGTACAATGGTTGCTTGGACCAATTAGATTTGTTCCTCCACCCCTGGAGCATAGCCGAAAACTTGATGCCAAATTGGGGGTTCAATTCATAAGCTCGAGGTGGAGGCAAAAAGTAATTCGCGTCGTGCCGCGACGTTAAATCAAGCGCTTGTTGGGAGGCAACCCAGCTTTATTGCTTTCTTTTATTTATTTTTTATTTTATTTTTTAATTGTATTATTTTTGTAGTGTCAATTTTTTTATTTTCTAGGAGCATGGAAAGCAAAGGTATTGGAAGGATGCATCAGCAAACCAAATGGTTGGAACTAAGTGTGAGGTACCCACACGAAGGACCAAGCTTGGGAGAAGTCTGAGTACCCCATGAACTGCTAGTGCTTCGGCTTTTGGCCTACTAGGGAGTTTCTTTTACCCTCTTGTATGTATGGGTGTGCATTGGGGACAATGCATAATTTTATGTGTGGGGTGAGGAGATTGTCTGGGTGATTTTTCATGCTACTTTAGCTGTATTTTTTTTTAAAAAAAAGATTGGAATTTTCCTGATGACGGATCTTCTAGACAGTTTTCTTGAGGGAAGTAAGTCTAAAGAAAATCCAAAAAAGATTTTTGTTTGTTAGGTAGTGTAGCAATTANCCCAACTCGGGTTTTTCGGCAAGGTTTTTAACGAGGCAGCAAGAACATCGTGCTACTACAAAGGTATCTAAGGGTAAATCATTGTATACTAGATCACCCTCCGAAGAAGGCGAAGGTCAATAAGAATAAATGTAAGGGTCAAACGGCCAAAGCGAGCCGTGCCCAACTAGCCTGACCTAATCCGCCCGGATCAGTATGATGTATTGACTATTACTGCAATAGCAAAGACTATCTGATGCATATTCACATCATAACCTAAAGATTTTGTTCGACTCTTCGGTATGCTTTCAAGTCCGATCTCATAAGACCTCCTCGAGGCATATTCGATCTCATAAGACCTCCTCGAGGCATATTCGATCTCATAAGACCTCCTCGAGGCATATTCGATCTCATAAGTCCTCCTCGAGGCATATTCGATCTCATAAGACCTCCTCGAGGCACATTCGAACATAAGACCTCCTCGAGGCATATTCGATCTCATATTCGATCTCATAAGACCTCCTCGAGGCATATTCGATCTTATAAGTCCTCCTCGAGGCATATTCGATCACATAAGACCTCCTTTAGGCACATAAGACCTCATTGAGGCATACTCGGACTCATAAGACCTCAATGAGGCAACACTTAAACTATAAGACCTCAAGAAGGCAAGTCCAAGCTCATAAGACCTTAATAAGGCGACACATAAAACTGTAAGACCTCAAAGGTGAGTTCGAAATTCGTAAGGCCTCGATAAGGCGGGTCCAAATTCATAAAATCTCAAAAGAGGTAATACCGGCCTCATCATCGACTTCACTAATGGCGAAGTATACTCGAATTTGTAAGACCTTAAGAAAAAGGCGTAAAATCGATACAAAACCTAAAGGTCAAATTGTGCCCGAGTTCGAATCCACTCACTCGGGGACTATCTTGTAAAAACCTAAGGTTTGAATCTTCCCCGAGTTCAAATGCACTCACTCGGGGACTGTCTTGTAAAACCCTGAGGTTTGGATTTCTGCCCGAGTTCGATTCCACTCACTCGGGGACTATCTTGTAAAAACCTAAGGTTTGGATTTCCTGCCCGAGTTCGATTCCACTCACTCGGGGACTATCTTGTGAAAATCTAAGGTTTGAATTTTGCCCGAGTTCGAATACACTCACTCGGGGACTAAGGTTTGAACTACACCCGAGCTCGACCAAACTCACTCGGGGACTGCTTCGAAAAAACCTAAGGGTTAGACTTCACCCGGGCTCGAATAAACTCGTTCGAGGACTATATTGAAAAACGTAAGGTTTGATTTTTTACCCGAGCTCGAATCAACTCACTCGGGGACTGCCTTGAGAAAACCCAAAGGTCGAAGTTCACCTGAGTTCGAATACATTCACTCGGAGACTACTTTGAAAAACATAAAGGACTACCATCGTTCCAAAAAGATAAAAGGCAAAGTAATAACAAGATTGAAAAAGGAGCAATAGATGGCAAAGGGCAATGTTTCATAAAAAAGCTCGCTACCGGAGCAATTACATAAGAGGGGAAAACAAAACAAAGCATAGCCTATTCCCGGAGTCAATCAGAGCCATCCTCGAATTCTTCGGGGAACGTCGCCCTTCTCGAAGCGTCCTCAGCTTCGGCGGCTTTGGTGACGTCCGATGCAAGATCGAAACCGCGACTTTGGAGTTCGGTAAGAACTTCAACTTGAAGTTCTTACACTTCGCATATTCGGCAAACATTCTTGACTGCTGGTTGGCCGCATCAGCATCGGCCCTATATTGGGCCACCAGATCGTTGGCAGTCTCCTCGGCTTGGGAAACTTTAGCCTCAGCTTCCTGAAATCGATTGGTCCATAGCTCAATTTCAAGGACTCGAGCCTCATTGGCCAACGTCAAGTTCGCAACCTCTTTCCGAAGGGAAGTCTTCTCCGACTCCAACTGTTGCACCCGGGCTTCCAGTTCGGCTTTGTTCTCATCAAGTTCGGCTCTGCTCTCGTCAAGCTCGGCCTTAACCCGATTAAGCTCGGCTTGCACCCCCCTTAGCTTATAACCAAGCTCTTTCTTCGCTTCCTCCAGCCGGATAGCACAGGACGCGTGCTCTTTGTTCAAAAGGTCCAATCCGGTCCGGCTTTCTAGCAGCTTTTCTTCAAGGACCCGGCGCCCCTCTCGCTCCGTCTCCATTTGGTCCTTGATCCGGAGGAACATCGAGTGATATAGCACCGATGCCTGCAAAGAAAAAGTCTAAAGAGTCAGTACTGAATCACAAGGCAAAAATATTAGAAATAAAGGAAGAAGCAAGTACCTTGAGCTGCGCCTGTTGGGCTTCGTTGAAAAGGCATGTCCAATCTACAGCCTCGGTTGCAGCCCGGTCTTCCTCCGTCATCAGGTGATGAAGATAGCTTGCAACCCCGACCGGGGGGCCCCACGAGCCCGGACCGGTCCTTGCGGTACGGTAGTACGTA